TCTGATTGAAAAATGGTTTTCAATCGAAAGAAGTAGCTACTGGCGCTACTACGCTAGCTCTATATTCCAGGTAAACGTTAGGCTAAAGAGCTGGTTTATCCCTACAGTTATGGTAAGGTGTCCTTCTTCAGCAGAACAGAGTTGAGGTTGCTGGTTGTGATATTTAACGATTCACCATGGACCGCGTTATCACCTTAACAAAATTAGTCTGTCCGAAGAGATAGATTGTCGACTCTGCCTAGAAGCAAACGAGACGTCCAATTATATTCTCTATGACTGCCCAGCAACTGCGTCGAGAACTATTCTCCCCTTCTTTCATTAGGAGGTCCTTAACGGCTGACATTCTGGCTTTCATTTGAAAAGTGAAAGGTCTTCTATTTGGTTATTGTCTATTGTAGCAAAACAGGTCAATCGCAGTGCTCTCCTCCATTGGGAGCTAGTAGCCTGCTTATTTCTATTCTATTCTATCATTATTGAATTATTCTGTTCATTTTTTTTTTGTGCTGAATTTTAAATACATCAGTGTGTAGGGTTTAGGGACTTCGGCACAGCCAAAACTTACTTTTATAACTTTTTCGTTAAAAATTGTCAGAACTTCAACTTTAAAGAACAAAAATGAAGTGACACATTTTTTGTGGAATATATAATTACAAAAAATATCTTTCCATATAAACATTTATACTACCTAAATGGGTTGAAATATAAACAAGTATGAGCAATTTTTTTTGTTTATTAAATGTTTGATTTATTAGCTTCAAATCTACATACAATATTTTTTGCCCATATATTAGTTTTTTGATTAACTACCGGATATAAGAGCAGCTATGGTTACACTTTATTTTATACCGGAATAACTCTAATGCCATTACTACTATATTAGCTTTATTAATTCTTTTTCAAATATTTGAAATATTTAACAAAAAAAAAGAAAGTTATTGAAAAGAACAATAGTATATCACAACCAATAACATATATTATGTTAAAAAAAATGAAATACTACGAATCCTTCTTAACCTTTAAGTAACTAGAAAGCAAATATCATGCAACTGAAATAGATTATAAAGTTTAAATTTATCTAAAAAATAACACAATTTTCTTTGTAGAGTCTTTGGATTGGGCAGGGTTATCTTTAAAAATTTAAGAAAGTAGAATAACATTTCTAACACAAAAAGAAATCTTGACTAACTTTTGGTTGAGGCGCAATACCGAAGATACACGAAATATACTGAGCGGCCAGAGCGTCTTATTAAGATAACAACTCCAGTTATGATCAAAAAATACTTGAGCGACTAATGGAAGATCTCCCACTAATGACCGGAATTGTTGTTTATGTATTAAAAATCTGAATTTAATACTTAATACTGTGATCACTTTCAAGCAGTATTTGAAAAGATTTCAGCTTAATCAAAAAGAGATTGTGTATGAATTTATTAGAATAACTCTAGATAACACATGGACAACAATTGTATAAAGAACAGAAACAAAAGATAAGTCGAAACAGAAAAGTGCTGATGAATGTGTTCCAAAAACGGCTAGGTTAGGTTAGGTTACAATAGTAAAAGAGGAGTTTATTTTTATGAAGTTTTTTTTTAAAGTGAATCTCTTTTAACCTTTTTTCATAATTGCAACAATTATATTTTCAATTTTTATGCCATTTGTATTGAATACATAAAATTACATTTGAATTTGAACTGAATGTTTAAAAACTTACAAAAACTGCATTAGTTAAACGTAACACCAACCATGACGGAAACTGCATCAAATTGAATCATGTCGAATCGAATTGAATTACCGAAACGGCGTCTCAATAAAATTATGAAAACACATGCGCCAACAAGCGCCAAATGCCCAAATTGCATGCTCCGGTGTCGATACAGAAACTCATTATTGTCGTTGGAACATCGCCTACTTGCAGAATAAAAGTATAAAATCGCCACAGACTGCAGTCTCACGTGTGGACTTCAGAGTCAAAACGTACCAATTGAAATTACTAGGTA